GGTTCCCCAGGCCTCCATCTCCCTACTGCCTGCTGTATATACATTGGGAGATTGTGTGATTAGCTTTAATTCATCCACAGGTAAGGCTATTTGGGCTATGGGCATGGGGGTACCACTCCTTGCTGCAACAGGCACACCCTGACCACACAGACATGCCAGAACCATCCTTTCCACAAACCTAGTGGGGTCTTCCCCTGCTGCAGCAGCTGCTGAAACCAGCTCTGCCAGCAATGCTCATGGTCCCACAGCTGATGTCATCCCCATCAGCATCTCAAATATATCTTTGTGTGGGGTATCACAAGCCTGTTGTCGGGCCACCCCCGCTAAGTCCCCTCCCAATCCGGATGCAGCCTTTATTACCCACCAAGCCTCCATCATATTTAGGCTCTGATCCAGGCACAAAGTCACCAGATCTTGGGACCATCCACTGAACCCAGAACGAGAGGGTCCTCCTAAGGTTCTGGCCAACTCCACCACTGTGGGGGGGGGGGTCACCTCGGTCTCTGCCACCGTATGCCCAATATTTGGGGCCTTTCCTCCCCCTTGGGGGGTAGGCCCATAAGTCTGGGACTACCCTCTGGATCACTGCAAGCCAATGTCTGTGATCTGGCCCTTCAGGGTCTGGATCTGGGTGATCCAGGTCACCCCAAATATCCCCATCTCAATCTTCACCCCAGTCACTTCTCTTAGGTCACCTCGGTCTCTGCCACCGTATGCCCAATATTTGGGGCCTTTCCTCCCCCTTGGGGGGTAGGCCCATAAGTCTGGGACTACCCTCTGGATCACTGCAAGCCAATGTCTGTGATCTGGCCCTTCAGGGTCTGGATCTGGGTGATCCAGGTCACCCCAAATATCCCCATCTCAATCTTCACCCCAGTCACTTCTCTTAGGAAGCCCTACAGCTGCTACTCTTCCCTTAGAAAGCAGCCTTCCCTTTGGCCTACTCTCTCCCAAAACTCCTTGAGACACTGCACCCTTTCACTTAAAGTTCTATTCTCCTCATGGACATGCTCCCGTTCCTCTTCTGCAGTTGTCACTTGTATGGCAACAGGAGAAGAGGCTTGGGTGCTGTCAGTACCTGAGCTTTCCACATATCTCGTTCTTTCTCCAGTTCCTTCAACTGCTCCATATCCTGATTCTTAGCTGCCTGACACTGATGTACTGCCTGCCATAGCAGCCAGGCAACTGCTCTTTCCTTACCTCCCTTGTCTGGCTTATACAGTAACACATTTTTCCATCATTAGTTCCAAATCAGTCACTGAAGCACCAGAAAGCACCACCCCTTGATTCCAGGGGTCAGCCCCTTTACTTTGGATCCATTTCCTCTGGGGTCTGGGCGTAGGAGCTGCATTCCACACTTCTAGGAGTCCTTTACACCTACCTTTTCTTTACCCCAAATGGGCATCTTGTTGTCGGGAACCTGGACTGTGCCATGGGTTGCTAGCCTACCATGTTTCAACACATCCCAGTCTCCCAAAGTTCACTGTCTTAACTTTCCATGGGGAAAGGACTTTTACTTATCCCCTCCTCCCCGGAATCTCCACCAAAAATGTTGCAAGGGGATGTGGATTGCAACTGCTTTAAACACTAAAGAGAGGGAATCACCACATGGGAATGTAAAGGGTTTGTTTATTCAGTTAAAACTGGGAAGGGAGGGGAATCTCACTCATACACTCAATCACACTTACAGTCCCAGGCAGGATGATAAGGCGAGCAGAGGGCACTACATGTTCTTTGATCTTCCTAACTTGACTCCTAGGCTGGTCCACTGGCCAGGTGATCTGAACAGCGGGCATTCTGGGAAACTCCACTTGATGGTCAACCCACTGTGTCTCTGTCCCTCTGTCCTTTAAGGATCAGCCACATGCAGCCTCTGAGTTTCTGGGCCTCTTGGGGCCGTGTGCATTGTTGTTTACTCCTGCTGTTTACCTCAGACATTCTTCTGCACTCACTCAGGGAAGGGATGGGGGTTAACAGACAACACTCCAACAATTTAGGGAACCAAATAACATCATTAACAGGTGAGAAAGAACCACCACCATTTTAACTATCCCCATGCTCCTCCTTTGCCTCCAACAGCCCACACTGCCCCCTGCCTGAAACCTTGTGCAGGTGTTAAACAGCTGTCCAGCCCACTCTAGAGGTGACTGCCTTTCTGCGTGCCTGAAGCAACACAGTACCAGCAATGGACAGGAGAATGGCTCCCAGGTATGGCTTGCTCATGACTGCTTCAGTCCTTTGGATGGGCCTCCGACTCTTTTCTTCCCCTCCCCAACTTTGCAATGGGGCTGTAGACTCTGGGGGAGAGGGGTGGAGGCAGGCCGAGGTGTCTCCCTGCAGCAGACATAGACGCATCTCTGTATTAATCATTCTCTCATTGAAGTTTTTAGCTTTGTAGTGAGTCCTTTTACATGGAAACTGTATTACGTCTTGATAGAATAGTCCCTAGGACAAGTGAGGCAGAGACTGCCCCTGTGGGGTGAATGAGGTGGAAATGTATAGGGCAGAAGGCAAGCACCTCTGGCAGGTGCAAGGGTTGGAGAGGGGATAGAAGCCAGATCTAAGACCAATGAGCCCTAGGAAGTGGGCCCATTGAAAGGAGACTGGACCTGTGGACGCCTTGGGGGTCAGCAGCAAGGAGAGCCCCCTCTTTGGAGGTGAATGAGGCAACATTGAGACACCCCACAGAAGCAGGCACCACAGACACTAACTGCAGATGTAAATGTGGCAGCATTGAGACACCACCCAGAAAGCCGGCAGACACTAACTGCAGATTCATGGGATGGCTCTCACAGATCTTGCACATGCATAAGATGACAGATCTGGAGGAGCGGGGTGGGGGGACAGTGGCGTAGCGAGGGGGCCAGAGGGGTCAGTTGTCCCTGGGCACCATGCTAGGAAGGCTCCAATTTAATCCCATTCTGCTCCCCCCGTTATCCGTTCAGTTCATGTGCTCCTACTCCGCTTACCACCGGCAGCTGGAGCCTCGTCGCTGCTCCAAGCCTGACCCTGCTCGAAGCCCGACCATCCTCCATCTCTACTGGTGGGTTAGTGCATGCAGGAGGAGGGCTCCAAACTGTAGTGGGTAGGGGAAGGTGCAGTACACATTCCCCTCAGCTGTGCACCAGGTTTGGGGCCATGCTACATGGCGGTGGTGGGCAGAGAGGGGGGCAATTTTTTCCTTTGCCCCCAGGCACATAACACCCTCGCTACGCCTCTGTGGAGCAGGACAGATGAGTCCTGTTATGAGCTGAAATCATTAACTAAGGTTAAAAGGCAACCCAATCAATTACACCAGAGTGATGGATAATGGCCATGGTTGTCCTCTTACACTTACGTAAATCAGAAAATAAATTCATAGAAGTCAATGCATTTACAATCCTTAAAAATTAGCCTGAGAGAAGAATCAGGTCTATTGTCTTCACTACTTCTTCTGAGAACTCCCCTCTGTCAACCTGCATCTCACTTGTCTTACTCAGATTCAGCTTATGTCAACTGTCTTTCATCCAAATCAGTCTGCCCTCCAGAAATTAGGAGAGCAAGAAAACAATTATTTCACAGAGCTGAGAATCCCCAGCATATTGGTGAAACTAGATCTGATTCCACAGGGACCAGCCGCTTTTCCGGAAAAACTTGCCAGCTGTCTACACTGGCTGCTTGAGTTTCCGCAAAAGCACTGACTTCCTACTGTAAGAAATCAGTGCTTCTTGCAGAAATACTATTCTGCTCCCGTTCAGGCAAAAGTCCTTTTGCGCAGAGCTTTTGCGCAAAAGGGCCAGTGTAGACGGCTCAGATTTGTTTTCCGCAAAAAAGCCCCAATCGTGAAAATGGTGATCGGGGCTTTTTTGCGGAAAGCGCGTCTAGATTGGCACGGATGCTTTTCCGCAAAAAGTGCTTTTGTGGAAAAGCGTCCGTGCCAATCTAGACGCCCTGTTCCGAAAATGCTTTTAACAGAAAACTGCAGGATAGCTGCATGAAGGGGGTTTGGTGGGGGCCAAACTAATCCCTGCTGGTAGGAGGATGGTGGGAAAAAGTCCTTTGACACCTTTTACTTCTGGTATTGTATCCATTTTGCCCCAAGTGTGTTGCCTCCAGAGGCTTGGCTAATAGGGTTAGAGGGTGTGGCTAATGGAGCACCACCAAAAATTATACAAAACTGCCAGCCCAGGAGGAGGAGTGCATCAGCTGCCTGCACCACAGGCAGTGTGAGTTTAGTGCAGGGTGTGTGTGGGTGGGGGATTTGTGTGTGCACTGTGGTTTTTTTTGCTCAACCAAAATTGCTATGGGGCCTCGTCAAAATTGTTCGAATTGGGCCCTGTCGTTCCTAAAGCCAGCCCTGATCAGAGAAAGTCCTGCCAGTCTTAATTCTCAGAGTTCTGTGCTGTATTTAGCTGTGATTTACCCCCGGGATGTCTTGTCAGAGACCAGCAAGCAGTGGCAGTGTTAGTAAAGTGGCTAAGTATAAGCATATGTCAATATTCATACAGCAAAAGGTAGCATTGTTGCAGAAATTGGAAAAGGGTGCATCAGTATGAGTTTTACACTATAGAGTTATCTCTACAGTGTATGATTTGAAGAAGCAAAAGAATTAAATCCTCAAGTTTTTTGTCCAAAGTAACAGTAAAAAAAGAATAAGCGTTTGTGAGACTTGAAGGAGGGGAAAAGCAGTGATTTATTTGCACTTATACATTGGTTCAAGCTCTGCAGGAACATAAGAACATAAGATGTGTATGCATATTAGGAGAGACGGCGTCAGCACAAGCAAAAATATTTCACAAAGAACTTAAACTGCAGCATCAGTGTGACTATTCACAAGGATGCCTTCAGAAATTTACAAATAGACATGGCATTAGTCTACACTGATATAGTGAAAAAAGTGCAGATACAGAAGCTGCCACTAAGTATGTTGATGAATTTGCAGTTAGTTGCTAAAGAGAGGTTATCTCAAGAGTTGGTATATAATGCAAATGAAACTCCCCAGCTCCCCAACTGCTGCAGGTCCCAGCCCCCAGCCACAGCTCTCCCCTTCCCACAGGTCTCAGCAGCCAGAACATTTCCAAACTCCTCACAGCCCACTAGTCTCGGCACCCGGAGCAGCCCCAATACCAACTCCCCACTGCCTGCGGAAAGCTGAGACCCCCCTCCGGCTGCTTGGATTCACAGGCAGTGTGACTTGTAGCATTCCCTTCCCCACCCCACTCCATACACACAAAAGCAGACACCAGACAGAGACTCGCTGGCTCTTTGCATTCCCTTTCCCTGGCTTAGGAAATTCTCTTGTTTGGCACTGGTCAGGTCTTGACAATACTGGACCAGAGAGGTGCAACCTATATAGGAAATGTTTAAAAAACACAACATAAAAACGTGATAGAGAATTAGAAAGCCAAAGGAATGAGTTCATCTTCCTTTCTCTAGTTACATGAAGTTTAAAAGATTGACATCACTTACAAGCTGGAAATGATTGAGAATAAATTAAAAATTATATGGATGGGGGAAGTGGAGGAGAGGAACGTAAATTGAGCTTTTAACTCTTTACTATGGATAGCACACTTAAAGGTGAATGTCTGTTAGCTGACCTAGGTCTGTAAAAACTGAATTGTATCTTTTATTAAAAGGGTACTTAAATTTCAGCTGAGTTCCGTTTTAAAAATAATGCACATGATCAACAGAGTTTGACGCAATCTTGCCACCGGAAGAGAAGGGATATAGATCAAGTTACTTGCTCCTCTGGGTAGCTGTTTTGAGTAAGCGAATACCGTAGTCTATTCTGATCCACTCAGGAACATCTGGAGAGGAAGAAAATATGAACACATAAAAATTTATAAACTTAAAGGAATAGAACTACAGGTTGAAACTCTCTTAACCAGGATTCTGAGCTCCGGCAACAGCCATGGTCCTGTATGGATATTGCTGGACCAAAGAGTCCAGTGGCAATGACCCCTGCAAGGCTACGGGATGCCCAACAGCAGCCCAGCAGGGTTGGCAGGACAGCTGGGCCAGCAAAATTTGGGGAGCTGGTCAGGAGCACCAGGGAGGTCAGTGGCAGTGGTCCAGAAATGACCTCCCCTGGTCCAGCAAAATCTCCCATACAGGATTGGTCAGCTCCTGAGGGCACCAGAATAGGGAAGTCCAACCTATATTACAAAAAAAATAGTTTATAGCTTTCTTATAGCCTAAGAAAAGTTTGATAACTAGAGCTTTTTACCGTCAAAATATCACGAGATGACCTATCTGCCAGAATGTGATTTCCACATTGATTTTGATATTCTACTATTAGGGCTACTGCATCATCCAGGCTGTAAAGGAAAAAAAAATTCAAATTAGCTGAGAAAACTAATCTCCCTCAACTTCCATAATACTGAACAATGCAGAGAATGTAGACAAATGTGCATTAAAATATAAAACAATGGATGTAAACAAAGTTTTGTGATCTCTCATTTGGTATGAGTCACTTATTTTCCACTTCCCTGTATGCCTAACGGGAGTTATGACTATTTTCCTCTACCAATTTTCAGGTGATAATCCTGGGAGGGAAAAGGGTCTCTCTAAAACCTAGTGACTTACGTATTGCCAACACCAGATATACCCTATCAGCAGGAGTTTAGACCTACAGGGGATTTCTGCCCGTTGGTGATCACAAATCATCAGTGGCAAGTACAGTTATTCAACTGGAAGAGTCAAAATTTGTTTACAGCTGCTAAATTCCCTTAAAAAACCCCAAAGAGACAGTCTGATGTGACCAGTCAGCTCAACAGGCTGTTTAATAGTTTGCAGTTTGTGAACTGCCTCTCAAACTTTCAATAAATTCCTGTTGAGTCAAGGAACAAAATGAAAGCACCTGAAGTTTGGTACAAGTAACTATCAAATAAGTGATCCATTACTTTCACATAATGCCCTCACCTAAGCAGAGCGCTAGGTGGCATAGAGGATTTCTTAATCACTTGAAAAAAACATTTGCCATTCCTCTTAAAACTCATGGCTACTATGTATTGGTAAGTCATTAGCATTCTAGTAAACAAAAAAACAAAAAAACCCTACAGTAATTATTGTAAGATTCTGACTTCCATAGAAGTTTTTTTTTCCAACTTTATGTTCACCATATTATACCTTGTTAACTTACCAGTTCTTGTTGGCAAGGTAATCCACTAATTCTTTCACTCTTTCAGTGTTCATCACTTGTAGCTTCAATAATGGGAAGTATTTTGTTTTAAAAAATCTGTCATATTGTTTCTCTTTTATGATGTTGTTCAGAATTAAACATCTAATCTGGAAGTGGCAGGAAAGTCATTTAAATATTTTAGATAAAATGTAATTACATTTTCCTACACTTTATTGGTATAAAGTTTGATCTACTAGCCTCTCTCCTGGTCTCATAAGATGATTAAGCTAATGTTTAAAAGCACTTTGAAAATGTAAGTGCTCTCTTAAGGAAGGCAGGAAGATCTGAGAATTAAATATTCTTGTCTCTCAGACAGGGAGACAAAGTAAACTCACTTATCCACAGTGAGTCAAAGAGCCAGAAAAACAGTATATGGTTATTCTTAGCAATTTAGTTTGGTGAGAGCCTTGTTGTGTTTAGTTAGGAACATAACTGATTTGAATACTATTCTTCAAAGCATGCTGCACTTCATACATGGGGAATGCTACAGAATAGTGTTGTGTAACCACATTCATCATCGAGTTAACGAAAGACTAACAAGAAACTGCAAAAATGTCCTTACAACTATTACTATTGACTTATTTTGGTAATGGACAATGTATTCTGTGCCCCAAATTTTTAGATGTGTATATGAGGAAGAAATTAGTAGGGAGGTGCTATCTATGTTTTGCACTGGTGTGACTTCTTCTGGAAAAAATACATAAGGTTCTAGTATCCATACTTTAAAACCCCCCTGCAATTGAGCAGGATGCAGAAGAACCACAAAAATGGTTTAAGAGCTAGAGAAAATGCCTTAGTGAGAAGTCTGGTTAGCTTATCATAAAGGAAGCTAGAGAAAATGTCTTAGTGAGAAGTCTGGTTAGCTTATCATAAAGGAAGTTGGTGACTTCACTAGTGTATAAATTCCTTTACAAGGTAAGAATACTGAGTAATAAAGGGCTCTTTAATCTAGCATAACAACAACAGAAATGAAAGCCAGACAAATTCTTCCTAGAAATATGGCACAAGCACAATTGAGTAGCTAATCACTGGAAAAAGTGGAACTGGTGGATTCTCCATCTTTTGCTGTCTTTCAATCAAGACTGGATACCTTTCTAGAAAATAGCCTTTAGCCAGACACATTATTGGGCTCAACATAGAAGTAGCTGGGGTGGAACGTAATAGTGTGAGATACACAGGTGAGATGATTTAATGGTCTCTTCTCTTAAAGTGTATGAATAAGATGATTAAATTAACATACCTGTGATGCAAAGCCTGCTACCTCACCAGTGTTCATGTGTTCATCTACTTGCTGCAGAACAGTCTCCAGATTACATGAAGACAGGAAACCCTTGGAAAAATTAGCTTGATGTTAAACATATGCAGAATTTTATAATCTTGAAATTTTCAGAACAAATAATTTTCTTGCACCGATGAGATTCTTTGGTTTCAGTAAATACTATTTGCTTAAGAGTTTTTGATTAATTCCTGCAACATGTTCTACAATAAAAATTATACAACTTGCAGTTAGTCTAAGTTTACTCCATTGTGGGAAACTGAAGGGTTTTCTCTCTACATGAAAGAAAAAGTTAAAAAACATTGCATAAAGAGTTACAAACACAACTGAAACTGAAAATACATAAGCATCTGAAAATGTAAACAAACTCAATCTTGGATGACTTGCAGATGTATTCACAAATATTGTGTCATATGAATAGATAACAGCATATACAGTTCCACGAAGTTCTCACTCTATCATCCTCTGAAGAAGCAAATGGTGAGAGAAAGGGAAGGGAATGGAGAAGATACAAATTTGTAGATGGGAAACTGCATTAATGCAAAGAAAAGGCGGAGGGCACTACATGTGAGAGGCTCACATAAAATAGTCAGTCTAGAGAAAGGCAAAGGTGTCAAGCGTCTCAAGTTTCTGAACTACCGTATATACCGGCGTACAAGACTACTTTTGATGTTAAAAAACATCCCCCAAAAATCGGGAAAGGAAGGACCCCGTTCGTAACTGCGGATCCGACATAAGTCGGATCCGCGTAACTCGGGGACTGCCTGTACTTAAAATCCTTCAAAATACTGTAGCTTCGGCTACATACAGAACGTCCCTGTGCTGATACTGTACGTACCGCGCTGAGCCAATCCCGGCAAGCGGTGTATTAATGCATACAAAGCCTACTCGGATTGGCTGAGTCAGAGAGGCGGGCTATTACAACCTTTGCCAATCCGAGCAGGCTTTGTATGCATTAATAGAATACACCACTTGCTGGGATTGGCTCAGCGCGGTACATACAATATCAGCACAGGGACGTTCTGTATAGGGGGGTAGTCTTATACGGCGAGTATAGGCCAAAACCTATGTTTTACCTGGAAAAGTAGGGGGTCGTCTTATACGCCCAGTCGCCTTATACGCCGGAAAATACGGTAAATCTTCATAGAACAACTGTATATCTTAAATGGGACTAGTCCCATGAAAAACCACACTGAACATTATCACAGTGGCATCAGTTTTAATTGCTTTGACATTTAGGTTATTTTTTTCAGATGCTGTTCACCTTAAGAGGGTATTGAAATCTAATACTTAGTTTTGGTTAGTGTAAATTCTTAGCGCTGAAGCAGCATTCGCCATGAGCTACGAGCTCCATGCCTTGCTTTTGTGAGCTTTTTGCCAGCTCAGATGTAGAAATGCAAGCAGCCTCCTTACCTGAATCTGTTGCTCTCTCTTCTTGGATTGGGGAATCAGCAGCAGGCATCCTAAAGCAAAAGCTGGAAGATTCAACTGTGCATATTGCCTTGCAATTCCAATTATATCTAGATCAGCTACATTAGGACACCTTTAGAGGGAAAGGATTCTAATTAATATATTTACCCTTCAGATTTTTAAAAGTTTATAAATTCCAGGGATATATGGTTTTTGTATTGACATGATTAAGGGCTAAAGAACATGATCTATGAAGGAAGACTGAAAGAATTGGGCTTGTTTAGACGGGAAAGGAGAAGACTGAGAGGGGACACAATAGCAGATTTCAGGGACACGATAGCAGATTTCAGGTATCTAAAGGGGTGTCACAAGGAGAAGGGAGAAAAATTGTTCTCCTTGGTCTCTGAGGACAGGACAAGAAGCAATGGGCTTAAATTGCAGCAAGGGAGGTTAGGTTGGACATTAGGAAAAACTTCCTAACTGTCAGGGGGGTTAAATACTGGAATAAGTATGGAATCTCCATTTCTGGAGATATTTAAGAGCAGGTTACATAGACATCTATCAGGGATGGTCTAGGGTTAAAAAGATATTGTTATATTGGCAGTTAATAAATATGAAGTACAGTTGTTGTCTCACTCAGCTCTGATGAACAGGTTACTACCAGAGGAAGAAGAATAGAGCCCATGCTAATGTGTCCCACTACTCCCATTTCTTCAGTGAATTCATAGAAAAATGTTGTTAAAATAGCATTTCCTGCTTCAGTCAGATATTATTAAATGAATAACATGCTCTAAATTCAGAGATTAAAGAGGACCAGTAAAGGAGATTACCAAAACTGCAGATGTATGTAATATTTTATCCATCAGGTAACAAAAAAATATCTGCAAAGGAGAAAAAGCCAACACACGAATTTCCCTCCCTTTCCTTATGTCACTTTTTTGCTTGTATCCCTCAAATACTAACCCAAATGATTAAAAATGCAATCACACCATTATTTATTGTACATATTGAATGAACCCTATGCATTATATAATTTTGCATTTAAAAAAACTTAACATTATGGTTGCAAAGTCAGTTGTGTGCAATGGATTAAAAAACCCTATGCTATCATGTAAAGTTATACCAACCCTCAGAATGGGATCATGACGTCAAAACAATAGTGCCATGGCAGAGACTGGTACCACAATAACTAGAGCAGAAGTAGGAAATAATTTTTGTTGGGAGGGACGACTCTCCAATGAATTTGGTAAGTGGTTGAGGGGCTGAACTTTTCCATTATATTAATGAAGGAGGCATGGAGGTCTGGGATGGAGATTGGGTGCAGAAGAGCACTTGGGGTAAGGGACTGGGGTGTGGGATCTGTTTGGGTGAAGGACGGAATTGTGACCTGAGATACAGGGTCTGGAGGGGAGTGTGATGTGGGGTAGGTGTGCAGGGTTTTGGTTTGTGACCAGGAATAGGGGATTGGGGTTTAGGAGGGATATGGGTGCAGGAGAGGATTCTGACCTGAGGGAGGATTGCAGGAGGAGGGAGTGCAGAGTCTAGAAGGGGGTTCTAACCTGGGGCAGGAGTTCAGGAGGGGATGCAGGGATTTGGGTTGTGACCAGAGAGAGAAGAGTGGGGTGCAAAGTCTGGGAAAGGGCTGTGACCTGAGGAGAGCTATAGGATGGGATGCTGTGTCTGGGAAGATGTCTGGGGTTGGAGCAGGTTGCAGAAGGTTTGGTTTACATGGGATAGGAAACAGAACGGGAGCAGATAGTTGGGGGAGGGATGGGCTGGGGTGCCAGAGGCAGGCTCTGGCTGGGAGACCTTATCTGGGTGACTCCCAGCAGATTCCTTAACCAGGGTCCCTGCCTTTCACACCCCTGTAATGCTCACTGCAGCTACAGGGTCCATGTTTTCTGCTATGAGCTTGGGCGGAGGGGCACTTCACATGCTACCTGTCCTGCAAATAGGCAGCTGCTATTAGCCAGAAACCGGACCATGGGAGTTACTGGGGGTGGAAGCAGTGTCGGAAGCTTCTGCCCTTTCCTTCCAGGCTCTCAGAATTCACAGAAGCACATGCCCTTGCAGCTAGCGCTCTCAGAATCATAGAATCCTATAACTGGAAGGGACCTCAAAAGGTCATCCAGTCCAGTCCTCTGCCCTGATGGCAGGACCAAGCCCTGTCTAGATCATCCCTGAGTGCACTTTCCTGAGTGCAGAGTGGTGGCAGGGCTGACAGGGAGCCAGCTGAGGGCTGAACTAGAAGGAGTAACTAGTAAAAGGATTAGGCTGATAGTCTATATGGACCACTCGCTAAGTGGGGATAAAACATTTTGCCAGTGGATTTTACAGCTATTTGCTGAGAACAGAGGAATGTAGAAACTAAGGACTTTTGAATTCTATTCCTGCTTCCACAGCAGGGATGGGAGGTCACTCCAAGAATCTGGTAAGTGTTCAAGGGCCACATGATAATGAAGGTGGTATGAAGTCTAGGATGGAGGTTAGGTGCAGAAAGGACCTTAGGTCAAGGGATTGGGGTATAGGAGGAGATGTGGGATCTGAAAGTCTGAGTGATGGAGGAGATTGTGACCTGGGGGAGGGTACTGGGATGCGGGGTCCAGAAGGAGGTATGGGTGCAGGAGAGGATGCTAACCTGGATGAGAGATGTTTGAAGGAGTACAGGATCTGGGATGGGTTGTGATCTGGGGCAGGGAATAGAGGTGCAGGTCTGGGAGGGAGTTGTAACCTGGAGGAGGAGTAGCAGGGGGTATGGGTGCAGGAGGCAAAGAGTTGGGAGGGAAAGA